GAGACTTCCCTACCTGGGTTGCCTGGTCATGGAAGCGCCGCGTCACTGTCCCTGAGTATATTTTTATATATTATTTTATCTTTGCCTTTTTCATACTAGGAATTGAACTGGATGAAGATGGGTCTCTAGATGGAAACAGTGATTTAACAATCCGAGGGCGCCTGCTGTCCCTGGTAGAAAAGGTGACATACCTGAAGAAGAAGCAAGTAGAAAAACCAATGGAGAGTGACTCTAAGAAATCCTGTGAGTATGAAATGGCAGCGACAAGTGACTCAGCTACTGGAGTTCAGTCCCTCTTTTGGATGACTTTTCCCCTCGTCAGACAGTGAGGTGATTGAGTTTGCCAATGCAGTGTATTTGATCAGAGACTAACTATTGAGGTTCCTGGTGTGGCGCTGTAGGATCAGCACTGGACTACTAACCACAAGATCAGCAGTTCAAACCCACCAGCAGCTCCTCAGAAATCCTACACAGGGTCACTGTGAGTCAGAACTGACTCAACAGCACTTAGCAGCAACATAATAAAAATCATTTAATTTCCACAACCAAATACTGTGTTGACGTATTTCCAATATCCTTGCATCACAGGAAGCATTTTCTTAAAGTTTAGGTAGATAGTTTCCAGAACTATATTTTGGTTCCAAAATGTCTTTCCAAGTATTATGCACTTCTTCTTCTTCCATGCCCTGTTTAAGTGGAGTGTATTGCTGCTACTCCAAGAAAGCAGATGCACACTCTGCTTGGGAGTGTCTCCTTCTTGGCTGGGGGTGGCACACTGACCCCTAAAGAGCTCAAGAAGTCGTTTTGTGAGCTATGGCTTACTGATTGTGTCCACTTGGAGACACTACTGATTTAGCCAATGATTGAGAGTAATTATCCAAACAACTGTCCCTTGATTTGTTCTTCAGTTTCACAATCAAATCTGAGTCCAGTTTTCTTCACAGTTTGCTTTCAGAGTTTCTTATGAATCTCTTTATGTTATTCTCAGGTATATGATCTTGACGTTTTAAAAGTGAAACATAAAGTATATTGCTATTTTATCTTCATTTTGTATTTGGTTAAATCAGTAGTTGTTTTTTCCCTTAAGGAATCTACAGATATAAGTTAGAAAGCTTCTTTTGAAAATAGTGAAGGTACTGATGATAGGGATTAAGTACTTCAGTCGGTCACATCAATGCCTCTTAGTTTTTGCAATTGTGTTAGTTATTTCCAGAGTTTAGGAAGTTTCTGTTGAAAAGCAGGGGAATGCATTGCAAATAGTATTCTGTGAGTAAAAAAAAAAAAAAAAAAAAATGTTCACTTCAATATACCTTCCCAATCTAGAAAGATAATTTGGGTGAAGAGTAGAAGTCCAAATTTAAGTAAAAATTGAAGTCACTGTTGTAAATGAGTCAACTGAGGAGACAATTAGATGACCAGATAACTTGGCATATCCATGACTGAACTTGTTAAAGGTGTGTGTTCTTAGTCCCTCTGGGAGGAGTGTCATGGACCTATCATCTCAAATGAATGGACATTCTTTCAATTATTTAGGGATTACCACCTGCTTCGTTGAAATGACTGTAATTTGAAACAGCTTAAATTCTTTAACGATAATGATGGCTTTTAAAGAAAGGATTGAGTATTTTTATCTTTCTGTGTTTGACTCTGATCTTCATTATATATATAAAAATTTTAAATGCCATTAAAATGTCTAACTGATTTGTCTTTTTATATTGCTTTCCTTTTTTATGAATTATCTGTTATGACTTCACAGCCACTCTTCAGCAGTTGATTTCTGAGACTATGGTCCGGTGGGCACAGGAATCTGTCATTGAAGACCCTGAGTTGGTGAGGGCTATGTTTGTGTTGCTTCATCGACAGTATGATAGCATTGGAGCTCTGGTCCGGGCTCTGCCAAAGACCTACACCATAAACGGCGTCTCAGTGGAAGATACCATTAACCTGCTAGCATCTCTTGGACAGATTCGCTCTTTGTTGAGTGTCAGGATGGGCAAAGAAGAGGAGAAGCTTATGATTCGTGGATTGGGGTAAATTATTTAATGTAACAATCCTTGGTCTTCTAAATTTCTTCTAATTGTTGATATCCTAAGTAGTATAGTAGGTGAACTAAGGTGAACATAGTATCTAGATGACATCAGTAAATTAGTTTTTTTGTTTTGTTTTGTTTTTTTGTTTTGTTTTTCCTGGAGGCTATATTGTAAAGCTGAATAAGAAAGTTGCTCTTGGTGACAAGGTATGACAAATTTTGCAGCTACATGCTAATATAGCGGTGACAGGCAGCACATATTTTAGAGTTGTTTTTTTAATCTCTCAATGATGTATAATAATATAGAAATTATAGGTTGTTAAATACTAAGATCTGTGGGGGAAGTTGTTCACCAATAGAAGGTAAACAGGTAGTTTTCCTTGGAAAACAAAGGACAATCAGCAACCTCTTCTGAGAATTCAACATCATGGGTTTGTATTTCACATGGATATGTACTCCAGACTGAGAAGCTAGTAAAAGTTGGTCTGGAGTAATGAATCTCAACTCCATTAACAATAAAACCTTGCAGGGAGTGGAATCTTACTACCAAAGTTTAGTAAGATTCAGTTTAGTAACACAATCAGAAACTATGAAGAATATAAAGAAATAATCTGCTATGAATGAGCATATGCAGAGATAATAAACAGTGGAATTAGACACCCTAAGTACTTCAAATAATAGAGTGAGAGTCTATAAAATTAACTATTAGGTTAAATTTTAAATAGTTCTAGAAATGAAAAAATACAAGAATTTACTTTAAAACTGACTTGATTAAACTGCAAGTAAGATGTGGCTCAAAATCAAATTAATAAATTGGTTCATACTGAGGAAATTAGTTAGAAATGCAGCTCAGAAAGATAAAGAAAAAAAAATACAAAAGAGAAAAAGACCTAGAAGGTTGTATATAAAAATTTCAGCTTACACTGAATAGAATGTCCAGGAAAGACAGAATAGATGAATTACTGAAGGGGAGTATTTGAGAGAGATTGCCTTTAAGTTTTTAGAGTTAAACAAACAAACAAACAAACATGAATTCACAGATTCACAAAGCACACTTAGTTTCACATCCATAGCCAGCTATACTGTAGTGAACTGCATTAACACCATAGACAGGCCATTTTAAATGCCATACTGCTTGCAAAGAAACAATACTGAGAATTTCCAACAGCATAGTTATAGGTTAGAAACCAGTGGAATGAAACATTCAAAGTTCTGATGGAAAATAACCATCAATTTAGAATATATTACCCAACTGAGAATTTAGCATCATGAGCTAATGCTGTCTGTATATGTAGTTGGGGTAAAGAGTTTATAACCCATATTCAAGAGAGATGACAAAACCAGACTATTTACTTTTAGTTTCTCATTGAAAGACTTTCTAAACTTCTCGTACTAACAGCTGTACTTTAGGAAAAAGAAAATGAATTCAGAGGGAATGAGTAAGATGTGATATGTTTTAAGAATATGCTGTTAGTGTATGTATGGGTAAATTTAAGCAATCATCAATAAACAAAAATGATTTTGAGATTGGAAATAGGATGGAATGAAATTGCCAGTCAAAAAAAAAAGCTTATTTAATTAAACAAGTGGAAAAAAAAATTAGGTAAGAAATGGTGGTAGTGGTGTGTTTTGGAGTCTCTTCCAACTTATAGTGACCCTGTACAGGATTTCCAAGACTGTAAATCTATCTCTTGCAGAACGGCTGGTAGTTTCGAACTGCTGACCTTGCGGTTAGCAGCTCTGGTAGCGTAGTGGTTACGAATCGGGCTGCGAACCTTAAGGTCAGCGGTTCGAAACTACCAGCCGCTCCGCGGGAGAAAGATGAGGCTTTCTACTCCCGTAAAGATTTACACCCTCGGAAACCCTGTACAGGGTCGCTATGGGTCGGAACCGACTCGATGGCACTTAACAACAACAACAACAACATGCTACCAGAGCTCCTTAAAAATAGCACTTTATTTCTTAAAAGAGTATGAAGCAATGATATTTGCTATAAGTGTATTTAAGTCACTCAGTAGTGATAAATAAATTATTGTGAAAAAATAAAATACTGCTTTTTTATAGTATTAGGAATGTTTCACACAAAGAATAAACTTAATAAATGACAACCTGCCTTCTGGGTTGTATAATTATTTAGTGTACCTAGTGGTGAAAGCAAACATAGTTTTTCAATTAAGATTTTCCAAATTCATTCATTTTGAATTAATAAGGAAAAAATACCGTGATTGCATGTAGGGTTTGAAAATGTGTTGAAAGTTCTATTGCTAAAAATGCTTCAGTCTAACATGAAAGGTTGCTTATTTTTAACTTCAGTTTTTAAAAAATATATAAAATAGCTCAGACATAATTAGAATTCAGAGTCACAATTTTGAGTTGTACTATTGATAAATTTTCTTTACTAAAAGTAATAAACCATTCAAATCATACTATTGCACTTTTTTGATACATCCAGAGTAGCTGAAGTTTAGCATATGACAAAATGCAATAGATGAATGACTAAACTGTTGTTGTTAAGCGCTGTTGAGTTCCAATTCATAATGACCCTGTACAGAGTTTGTGGCACTGCGGGTTAACGCGCCAGACTGCAAAGCCATTTGAACTGCAAGGTCGGCAGTTGAAGCTCACCAGCTGCTCCTCGGAAACCCTCTCCAGGGTCACTGTGGGTCAGAACTGACTCGACGGCACTTCACAACAACAACAACAGAGTTTCTGAGGAGCAGCTGGTGGGTTTGAACTGCTGACCTTGTGGTTCGCAGTCCAGTGCTGCTTCTACAGCACCAAATCAGGAATCTGAATGTCTAAATTAAGGAAATCAAATTTGAAGGCAAAGTTTTGGGTTCCTTGTATACTATTTTCCTGTTATATTTCTAACAGGAAATGTTTTATAGAAAAGATGCTTGCATTGATTTGATTTATATTACAAGGAAACTCAATAAGCTCTTCATTTGCAATGACGAGTAGTACTTCATCCTAAACAATAAGAGCCTTAGAAAACCACACATAGTTCAATACGATGTAAGGAAGTATTAATAATATGAAACATTTGAGGTGTTATCTGCTACTGTTTGTTGAAATCAAATGTCCACCTTAATGAATTGATTTCCTTGTATTTAGACTTCTTGTTTATTTAGTCTCTCTTAGAGAACATGCCTTTAAAAATATTTTGCCAAAATGATAGTAAGAATGTAACAGGAAATAACTCTGTTGTTAAGTGCCATTGAGTCGATTCCAACTGTTAGTGACCCTAGATAGCTTTTCTGAGGAGCAACTGGTGAACTTGAACCACTGACCTTGCTGTTCAAACCAACCTTGCAGTCCAGTGCATTAACCCACAGCACCACATTACTGCATTACTATAAAATAGTGTTATTGTTGTTGAAGTACCATCAAGTCAGTTCTGACTCGTAGCAACACTGAATAAGGTTTCTGAGGAGTAGATGGTGAGTTCAAACTGGCGGTCTTTCAGTTAGCAATCCAGTGCTTATCGTAAAGAGCCATACCAGAGCTCTGTAAAATAGTATCTATGTGAAAAATGGAGGTAATAATGTATCAAGAATTCATATAGGAATTTTCAGATAAACAAGGAAGGAGCTCTGGTAGCGTAGTAGTTACGAATCGGGCTGAGAACCGCAAAGTCAGCAGTTCGAAACTACCAGCTGTTCCACGGGAGAAAGATGAGGCTTTCTGCTCCCATAAAGATTTACAGCCTCAGAAACCCTGTACAGGGTTGCTACGAGTTGGAACTGACTCCACAGCACATAACTACCATGGTATAATAGCAATTCATATAATTATACCAAAGAAGTTAAACATAGGGATGTGCTTGAAAAGAAGTGTCCAGGAATATCTTTCATATAAACTAATGTTCACATGTTTAGCACTTTACTTGTAATTAAAAATAATTGAATACTTACATACAATTGTGTGTGTGTGGTTTGGGTGAAAGTTTATAGAGTCAGTTCATTTCCATTCAGCAGTTTATGTCTTGTTTTCTTTTGTCACAGTTGCAGTCCCTGCACTGTAACTTTTCCCATGTCCCCCCTGGGCTTCCCATTTCCATTTGTTCTTCTTTCCTGCCCCTTTCTGCTTTCTGAGCTTTGTTTTTCTGCCAAATGCTACTTGTTTTCGTCTCATATAGTTGATTGTTCTGAGAAGTACGTTACTCGCAGGTATTCATGTTCACTGTATTGTTGTTGTTAGGCACCATCAAGTCAGTACCGACCCATAGTGACTTAATGCACAGCAGAACGAAACACTGCCCTATCCCGGGCCAGCCTCACTGTTGTTGCCTCGCTTGAGTCCATCGATGCTGCCACTTGGCCAGTCTATCTTGTTGGGGGTCTTCCTTTTTTTCTCTGACCTTCTCCAGTGACTGGTCCCTCCTAACAATATGTCCAAAGTAGGAGAGGCAAAGTCTGGCCATCTTGGCCTCTAAGGAGCACTCTGGCTGCACTTCTTCCAACACAGATCTGTTGGTTCTTTTGGCAGGCCATGGCACTTTCAATATTCTCCTCCAACACCATAACTCAAATGCATCAATTCTTCTACAGTCTTCCTTATTCACTGTCCAGCTTTCACATGCATATGAGGTTATTGAAAATACCATGGCTTGGGTTAGGTGCACCTTAGTCCTCAAACTGACTTCTTTGCTCTTCAACACTTTAAAAAGGTCTTGTGCAGCAGATTTGCCTAATGCAATACGTTGTTTGATTTCTTGACTGCTGCTTCCATGTTTACTTTATAGGTCTGTTTATTTGGCTGAAAGGTGATCTCCTGGGGTGGGTTCAATTTCAAGTTTGAAGGGTGTCTAAAGGCCATAGTCTCGATCAGACTAGCTTGTCTGGTATTTTTTATGATTTTGAATTTTGTTCAACATTATTCTTCAACTCTGTCCAGACCTTGTATTGTGATCCCAATCAGAGCAGTTGGTTGTGATAGCCGGGTACCATCTAGTTCTTCCGGACTCAGGGTTTTGGAGGCTGAGGTTTGCATAGTCCATTAGTCTTTTGGACTGCTTGTTGCCTTGAGTCTTTTATTTTCATCACTCTTCTTTGCTCCAGATGAGGAGCGAGCAATTGCCACATCTTGGATGACTGCTTACAGATTTGTAAGACTCCAGTTGTTACTCCCAAAGTGGATGTAGAACCTTGTCTTTGTGGACTACATTATGCCAGTTGATCTAGATGTCCCCTGATATTATGATCCTAAGCTTCCAAACCCAGTGACTCATTCCTTCAAGGTGTTTGATTATGACTAAGAAGGTTTTATAACTTTGCCACTTTGCCCCCTGTATGCTCTACTGTATACTTATATATATATATATTTGCAGCAAATACAAATACTTAATGGAAATATCATCTACCAAAGCCTTATATACTTAGGAATATAGTTTCTTTTACTTTCCTACAATTGTTCCATTTTCATGTTGACCTATGATCTACCCATTCATATATATTAGTGTGATGTATTAGTATGTATTAGTGTTATGTATGTATGTATTAGTGTTATGTATTATGTATGGAATGGCATTTCCCTTTAACTCTTGTGTACCTCCCAGTGTCTTCCTTTGCCTTGGTCATATTGTTCTAATCTCCGGCTTACTGTATAATGCTTTTCCCTGGACCCAAGTCAGTACATATCTACTCTCTAGTTAGTGATCTTTCACTCCTTCCCGTCCCTTCCCTGATAATCATGTTGTCCTCCGGATTCAGTCCAGGACTTTCGTGGACTCATTGTTCTCTAACTTTTAGTAGTGTTCCATTGTGTCTTTGTTCCATAATTTATCAGTTCATCCATTGATGAACACTTAGGTTGGCTCTCTTCTTTGGGGCTGTAATTGTGAATAATGCTTTAGGGACCGTGGGTGTGCATCTATCTGTTGATGTCACAGCTCTCATTTCTCTAGGACATACAAGTACCTAGTAGTGGAATTGCTGAATCCTATGGTATTTTTACTTCCAACTCTTAAAGGATGTGCCATACCATTTATCATAGTGCTTGTACTATTGTATAGTAGTATTATATACACCAGCAGCATTATATATTATTTTTGTAAACCATTACTGGGTTTTAAAAAGATAATTGCTCTTTCTATTCTAAATACATTAGTAATTATTTCTAAATGATTAATCAGAGTCTCAGTTAAATTTATATTTAAATTTTGCTTTTACCTCTGTGTTTTCCCCCATCCCTGTCTTGTACTTCCAGGGATATCATGAATAATAAAGTATTTTACCAGCACCCTAACTTGATGAGGGCCCTTGGAATGCATGAAACAGTAATGGAAGTCATGGTGAATGTTCTTGGTGGTGGTGAGTCCAAGGTAAAGAACAGCCTTTGAGTCCGACTAAGTTGTCTTAGAGAAGGTTCTCTAAAGACACAGAACCAGAGAGTTATAAAGAAACTGGCTTACACAACCATGGGAGGCTGGCAAGTTCAAACTCTGTAAGGAGTTGATAGGCTGAAGATGTCCACTGGTTTGTGTTCTAAGATCTGTAGGTCAGGTTGACAGAGATGCAGAATGAAGAATGAACTGAGTTCTCACAACATGTCTGTTATCTGGAGATAGAGCACACTCTAAAGAATCTTCCTTTTCAATGGATGGATTGATTGTATTACAGTAGCTTATAATTTTTGGAAGGTAATGTACTGTATCCCAGACCAACTAATTTAGTCTATGTAACTATTCATGAGGGCAACTAGACTAGTGTTAGGTCACATCATTGGGAACTATAGTTGCGTCAAGTTTACACATAAAATTAACCATCACAGAAGTAGTTTATTATAGCCTATTGAAATACATAGGTTTTATGATCTTAAAAGAGATTTTCTTAATTATTTTTTGGAGGAGTATTTAGTAAAGAACATTTTTGGAAAAAAAATAGTAAAACCTTAGAGACTAAGAGTTGAGTGTGATACTAGTCCCCACCCCCTTTGGTATTAATAATTTTTTAAATTTTATACTGTGCACTTTGCTGTCTCCTAAGTTAATATCTTCTAGAAAATCTTTTGAAACTGCTAAAGTGAAAACTTTTTTTTTCCTGATTTTGAATTTGTAAATCATCACCCATCACATCATCTTGTTTAAATAGATTACTTTTTAAGGTGTACCTTTCACAATGTGATTAGTCTAGTTGCCCTCATGAAGTAGTTACAGAAACTAAATTAGTGGGCTTCAGCTGGAGCAGTTTACCATCCCACAATGATCAATCACTGAAATCAGTTCTTGTTAAGTGCCTCTTGTCAGTTCTAACTCATAGTAACACTGTATAGTGTTTCCAAAGAGTGGCCGATGGGTTTGAACCAGTGACCTTTTAGGTAGCAGTCAAGTGCTTATCCTACAGCACCACATGAGCTCCATATTCGAAATATAATCAGTCCATATTTGTCATGTTTACTTTACCAGTTGTTGTTGTTGTTATTAAGTGCCATCAAGTCAGGTGCCTACCTATAATGACCCTTTATAGAGTTCCCAAGGAACAGCTGGTAAGCTTGAACCACTGACCTTGTGGTTCAAACCGACTTTTCGGCCCAGCACATTAACCCACAGAGCCATATCAGGACTCCAGTTTACCAGTTAGGCAGACATATAAAGATATTTATCATATATTCTGGTGAAGGTAGACTCCAGGGAGTATCTGAAGTATAGGATAACAAGATTTAGCCCTCAAGGGAGAAATAGTTGATGAGGACCAGCAGTCATGCTTTCCAGTTAGGGTGGTCATTCTTGCAGGCCAGGAGTGTACCGGCCAGGAGTGTGCCCTTCAGTGAGGTTTGAAGCCCTGGAGAAATGCCCCAACCGATACTAATTTGTTGTTATTAAGTGCCATTGAGTCAGTTCCAACTCAGAGGGTTGCTATGGGTTTCCAAGGAGTGGCTGGTGGATTTGAACTGCTGACCTTGTAGTTAGCAGTCCAGTGCTTATCTTATAGCATCACACCGGGACACCCTGTTATGTAGTTCCAAGAACTGAACTAGTGTACAGTCCAAGCAGTTAGCATACTCCCTTCAAAGCAACGTTGCTCTTCAAGTCTCCCAAGAGAAACCTGGTAGCTTACTTCCAAACCCTCAGCCACTGACCCCCAGGTATGGAGCACAGTTCTGCTCTGACGCAGTGGGCTTACCGTGAGTGAAAGCCGAGTCAATGGCAACTGATTGGTTAAGGACTCAATGGGTCTTTTTCATAATTTATCTCATTGAATCCTACCCACTAATACCGTATTATTTCAGTTTTACAAAACGAAATCAAAGAAATTGCAGAATTTCCTAAGGAATAAGATTTAGTCCCCTGGAGATGTGGTCCACACTGGAAGCCCAGTGGAGCCTCCCTGCTTTCTAAACTAGGCTTGTGTGCTGCCTGCGGATTTTTATAGATTAATTCCAGATCCAGCCCACTAATGGTATTAAGTAATTGCTTTCATTTTCAGTAGCTCAAGGTCTTGGTGGGTCACAATCCAGGCATTAAATAAGTAACATTTCTGATCCTGGGCAGACAGGAGCACCATGGATTGGTAATATGATTGAGATCTTATCATCTGAACTAAACTTTATAGAGATCATTTGATTAAATAGCTAACTAAATGCTTTTCATATAGGAAATCACCTTTCCCAAGATGGTGGCCAACTGTTGCCGCTTTCTGTGTTATTTCTGTCGGATAAGTAGGCAGAATCAAAAAGCTATGTTTGATCATCTTAGTTATTTACTGGAAAATAGCAGTGTTGGTCTTGGTAAGTCAATTCTACCTTTTTATTTAATCTTTAAGATAAAGGAATATTATATTACCTTTGGAAATTGAAGTTAACTGTCAATTAATTTCAATTCAGAACAAATTACATTTAAAAATTGCATTGCAAGAGAAAGTGTGTTTGTATATGGAATCTGTACAGCACAATCTAACCTTGATTCTTTTTTTTGCATGAATAGCCTCGCCAGCTATGAGAGGGTCTACACCTCTGGATGTGGCTGCAGCCTCAGTGATGGATAATAATGAACTCGCCTTAGCTCTGCGTGAGCCTGATCTGGAAAAGGTAAACGTTTCTGCCTGTGCGTTTCTGTGCGTTATGTGGTAGGTAGGTATTTTTTAGAGGATTATTCAAGAATATGCAAATGATGATATGCTCCACTATTAGCCCAAAATTGGCAATTCTGACCCATCAAAAGATAGCTTAGAAGATAGGCATCTTCTTTGTATAGATCACAGCTTTTAAAACTGCATGGAGCAGTTCTGCTCTGTATACAGAAGGTGCTATGAATAGTCGGTAACTGAAAACAACAACAACAACAAAGTTAGAATGAACCAGAAGTTAATCCAATATATATTCTCTTAACAAGTGCATTGTTAATGGTAAGTTGGGATACAATATCAGCATATAGAAAACCACAGGTGGTGTTGGTGATTCACTGGTGGAATTTTCTCCTTTCATGTGTGAGACTTGGGATCAATTTCACTCACGGCCTTCACCCACCTGTTAGGGGAGATATGTGTGTTACTATGAAGCTGAACAGATTTCAGTAGAGCTTAAAGACTAAGATGAGCTAGGAAGACAAGCTTGGAGATCTACTTCCAAAGCTTAGGCAATGTACATCCTGTGCACCACCATGGTCTGATCTGAAAGTGAGTATGAAGATGGGGCTGGGTAGGGCAGCATTTAGTTTAGTTACTTGTACATAGCGTGCGCACGAGTTGGAAAGCCAACTCAACAGCAGTAGGGTAGGGACAAATAATTTTATCTATAGTTCCATCATGATCTATTTTGTCACATTTGTTTTATTGGTCCATTTTTAATTTCCTAAAAATTTGCTTTAACATCTTATAGACACAACTCATCTCATTAGTAAGGTTATGTATTCTAGTGCAGCATGCCAGTATCATGCTAGGCCATGCATAACTAAGTATAGTAAATCGTACATACGTTTGCCAGAATATGGATTATTTTCTCACTGTTGTAATTGCAGTTGCATTCTAAGTCTTCGAATCCTTCCCTTACTTTGCTAGAGTTTTGTTCTTACCTGAGAAACCAGAATGACCATGTCAGTCATCTGTTCAGAACTCTCCAAGACTTCTTCCCTTCTCACTCAGTAAAAATCTTGTGTTACAGTAGCTCCCACACCACCTTCTCTCACTATGTGATTTCATCTCTACAAGTCTCTTGCTCTCTTTTCTTCAGTCACACTGGTGTATTGCAGTTCCTGGAAAATTGCTCAAAAGCACATGTTGCAGTGAATTGTGGAACAATGCTGTCTATGATAGGATAATATTCATGCACCTACATACTGCTGCTCCACTTCCTGTTTCCTCTGTTTTCAGTCTCTTCTCCACAAAGAACTGCTAAGCTCCATTTCAGAAGTCCTTTCAGGCATTGCTCAAAAGCCACCTTCTTAGCCAGATCTTATTGAAACCTCTTTTGCCCATCCTTTTGAAATTCTTCATACCTCTCTTAACTAAATGATTTTCAACAGTTGAAAATTTTTTTTCATTTATATATATTTATCATCATTTATTTATCTAGTAATGGATGGAATAAAAATTGAAATCTTTCAAGAAAGTGAGGCGGCACAGGAGGCACTCACTCATCCATGCCAAGAAATTTGGAAGACAACTATCTGGCCATTTGATTGGAAGAGATCCATATTTGTGCCCATTCCGAAGAGAGGTAACCCAACGGAATGCGGAAATCATTGGATAATCTCTTCGATATCCCATGCGAGTGAAGTTTTACTAAAAGTAATACAGAAACGGCTACAATCATACATCGACAGAGAACTTCCAGAGGTTCAAGCTGGATTCAGAAGAGGGTGTGGAATAAGGGATATCATTGCTGATGTCTGATGGATCTTGGCTGAAAACAGAGAACATAAGAGAGATGTTTACCTGTGCTTTATTGACTATGCAAAGGCTTTCAATTGTGTGGGTCATGACAAGCTATGGACAACATTGCGAAGTATGAGTATTCTGGAACAATTAATTGTGTTCATGAGAAATCTGTACCTGGACTAAGAGGCCATTGTTCGAACAGAACATGGGAACATTGGTTTAAAATTAAGAAAGGTGTGCGACAGGGTTATATTCGCTCACCATACTTATTCAACTTGTATGCTGAGCAAATCATCTGAGAAGCTGATATATGAAGAAAAACATGGCATCAGGATTTGAGGAAGGCTCATTAACAACTTGTAATATACAGATGATACCATCTTGTTTGCTAAAAGTGAAGAAGACTTAAAATATTTACTGATAAAGATCAAAGAGCACAACCTTTGGTATGGATTGCATCTCAATGTAAAAAAAACAAAAATCCTCACCACTGGACCAATAAACAACATTCTTATCAATGGAGAACAGATTGACGTTGTCAAGGACTTCATTCTTCTTGGACCAACTATCAACATTCATGGAAGCAGCAGTCAAGAAATCAAACGACGTATTGTATTAGGCAAATCTGCTGCACAAGGCCTTTTAAAAGTGTTGAAGAGCAAAGATATCTGCTTGAAGACTAAAGTGTACCTGACCCAAGCCTGGTATTTTCAATAACCTTATACGCATGCAAAAGCTGGACAGTGAATAAGGAAGACCATAGAAGAATTGATACATTTGAGTTATGGTGTTGAAGGAGAATATTGAAAGTGCCATGGGCTGCCAAAAGAACCAACAGATCTGTTTTGGAAGAAGTGCAGCCAGAGTGCTCCTTGGAGACCAGGATGGCCACACTTCATTTCTCATACTTTGGACGTAGTGTCAGGAGGAACCAGTTGCTAGAGAAGGATGTCACATTTGGTATGGAGGAGGGTCAGAGAAAAAGAGGAAGACCCCCAGCGTGATGGATTGGCCAAGGGGCAGCATCAATAGGCTCAAGCGAGGCAGTGATAGTGAGGTCGGCCCAGGATCAGGCAGTGTTTCGTTCTGCTGTGCGTAAGGTCGCTATGAGTCGGTACTGATTCGATGACACCTAACAGCAACGATAACATTTACTTATTAACATCTTAAATATTTATATTTGAGAAATACACTTATATTTAAAGATAAATATTTAAAAAAATATTACCACTATAATGTAAGGCTGGTGGGATCACAGCATTTTCCTATCTGCTTCATTTTAGTTTTATGGAAGAGTATTGGCACTGCGTAGACAATAAATAGCTGTTGAAGGCATGAAAGAATGACTTCTTTCCCAATAACTTTTTTTTCCAGGCTAAGGAGCATGAATCTCTGCATTTCTGATCAACTTCAAGATAACTTTCTCCCATATATTACTTTAAACCTTTTTATCAGCACACCAATTAAAAGGGTTAAAACTAAAAAGATTGACAAAACCAATAAAGCTGGAGAGGAAAGGGAGGAACTGGAACTCTGTGCATTGCCTCTGAGAGTGAAAACGTAATAGTCACTTGCGGAGCATTTTGCCGTTTCTTAAAGGGTTGACTACATACCCAACATACACAACCTTGACTTCCAGTTCCTCAATATTTTCACTCAATAGAAATGAAGATATAATTCACAGAGATTTGTATATGAATGTTGGTAGGAACTGTATTCAAAATATCCAAAAATTCAAGCAACCTAAAGTATTCAAATATGGGGATATAATGGAATGCTGGTGTAGCGCTGTAGGATCAGCACTGGACTACGAATAACACATCAGCAGTTCAAACCCACCATCTGCTCCTTGGAAATTCTATATAGGGTCGCTGTGTGTCGGAATCAACTTGGGACTCTTAACAATGACAATTAGTCAATAAAAAGAAATGAAGTACTGAGTATGCTACAACATGGGTGGATCTCAAAATCATTGTGCTATATGAAAGCACTTAGACACAGAAATAGGCAATGTGGATGATTATGTTTACGAAATGTTCTAGAAAATGGCAGCTGATTTTACTGACAGAAAGATTAGCTGTCATCTGGGCCTGAATTGGTAATTGGGATGTTCTGCAAAGGGCACTCCGGAACTCTTGATAGTGATGCTGGTTTCCTGGGTAATATTCATTTAACTTTAAATGAAGTCCTGGTGTGGCAATGTGGGTTAATGCGTTGGACTGGAAGGTTGGTTTGAACTGCAAGATCAGTGGTTCATGCTCACAGGCTGCTCCTCGGAAACCCTATACAAAGTCGCTATGAGTCGGAAGCAACTCAACAACACTTAACAACAACAACATACTTTAAATGGATGACTTCATTTTATGTAAATTATACTCAATGAAGTTGGTATTACATATTTATATTATATTGTTGTTGTTGTTAGTGCCATCAAGTTGGTTCTGACTCAGAATGACCTTTTAGAGGGTTTCCAAGGACCACCTGGTGGGTTTGAACTCCTGACCTTGTGGTTCACAATCCAGTGCTGACCCTACAGTGCCACACCAGGATGCATTTCTTTTTATGCATTTGCTTGAGCCAGGGAATAAACTAATTTGTTTAACAAGTTTCTCCTCTAACTATTACTATTAATGAAGACTTCTGTAGGGATTTCTTTTAAATCTGGAGTGGTTATGAAATATCTTAGAACCAACATTCTCTTAGTACAAAATATTCTAAAAAGCAAAGCGAAGCAGAAATGTTTCCGTATCTTAAATTCAGACGTGCTGGCAGGTAGGTGCTATTATTTCAACTTTAATAGACAGGGAAACCATGATCCACAAGTTTAAATAACCTGCTCAAAATGATGCATCCAGGGAGTGATTGGGGTCAGGTCTGAGCTGTAAGCTTGTATTTTCTTTACTTCTCTATCCTATCATCTCACCCCACTCCCTTCATTAAACTGATGATTATAGGAAACAACTCACCACTGTACTATTTCCTCACGTCTCACAGGAATCTTTTAACATTAAACTCAGACTCAGGCAGTTTTTACATCTGGCCAAAATGTTTGTTTATAAAAGACAAAACAATTGCTACGTTTCAGCAGTTTTTATATTCATTACGTTCGCCATTTTGCAATCATCATAACTATACATTTCCAATTTTTTTCTATTACTCAGCACCTCCTAATTAGTAACTCTCCTTTTCCCACCCCTCTTTCTCCATCCCTTGTAAGCACTAATAAACTTGGGTGTCTATACACGTGCTTATTTTAGATAGTTCACACAGGTAGGATCATACAGTATTTGGAAATTTTTTTGGTTTATAATTTGTTTCACTTAATATTATGTGTTCAAGATTCATCTATATTTTAGCATGCATCCAAAGTTTAACTCTCTTTATGGCTAAATAATATTCATTATATGTATACATATATACCATATTTTTATCCTTATCTGTTGATGGATGGTGGGGTTGTTCCCATACTTTGTGATTGTGAATGATGCTGCATTCTACGAGTATCTGTTTTGTGTCCTTGCTTTCAAGCCTTTTGGCTATACATGTCAGAGTAGAATTGCTGGATTTTGGAAATTTTTTATGTTCATCAAGTATTACTTTTTAGGTAAGAATCTCAGAGTAAATGATAATAAATTTAGGAATATTTTTATTTCATATAGTTGACTTGTAAATATTCTCATTATTATGACAACTTGTTTAAGTATTTATAATTCTAAGTTTTTACTCCACCACTCATATGTCAGTTTGTCATACTGTAGTGACTTGCGTGTTACTGTGATGCGAGAAGCTATGCTACAGGTATTTGAAATACCCATTGTAGACAAGTTTCAGCAGAGCTTCAAGACTAAGAAAGATAGGCAGACCACTTCTGTAAGTTAGCCACTGAAAACTCTATGAAAAGCAGTAGGAATCATTGCCTGATAAATGCCAGAAGGTGGAGCCCCAAAGGCTTGAAGGCACTCAAAATATAATTGGGGAGAGTTGTGTCCCCCACTTTTCCCCAGTCATATTTTGTAGAGATGAACTTAATGAAGTAGGTGGAGCAGAGCTTTTAGGAGCTTCATTTGCTGATGTCAGAAGAGACTCTGAAACTTGCTCTTGAATGAAGAGAAGGGAAAGCGACTGGAAGAAATGAGGAACTGAAAGAGCTGAACAGAAAGTTTCAAAAAGGTAGCTTGAGAAGACAAAGTAAAGTATCATAATGAAGTATGCAGTGCACAAAGAACTGGAGTTACAAAACCAAAAGGGAAAAACATGTTCAGCATTTCTCAAGATGAAAGAAGTGAAGACAGAATTCAAGCTTCAACTTATAATACAGGTAAGTATTGAATGATGCAGGAAGCATCATAAAAATATGAAAGGAATACACAGAGAGTCACTGTACCTAAATAATTGGTCTGTGCTCAACCATTTCAGGAAGTAGCATATGATCAATAACTTACGTTATTGAAGGAAGAAGTCCAAGCTGTACTGAAGGCATTGATGAAAAGCAAGGCTCCAGGAATTGATAAAATACAAATTAAAATGTTTCTGCAAACTAATCTAGCACACTGTCGTCTTCATTGAGAACCACGGTGCCCTTGATTTGAACCACAGTATTTTTAATTACCTTATGTATATGAATGTTGGACACTGAATAAGGAAGACCATAGAAGAAACCAGGCATTTGAATTCTGGCTTTGGCAAAGAATATTGAAAATGCCGTGGACTGCCTAAAGAGCAAACAAATCTGTCTTGGAAGAAGTACAGCCAGAAATGTTCTTAGCAGCCAAGATGGCTGGATTTTGTCTCTTGTACTTTGGACATATTATCAGGAGGGGACCAGTCCCTGGAGAAGGACATCATGCTTGGTAAAGTGGAGGGTCACAGAAAAAGGGAAAGACCCAAGTGGGCTCACATATACCAACAATTGTGATAGCGAGCACAGAACTGAGCAGTGTTTTGTTCTGTTGTGCATGCTGTGTGTCAGAACCAACTCAAGGGCACCTAACAACAATAAGAACAATAAAATACATTTGTTTTAAGACGTACTTTGACAATATCATGTACCATATTTAATGTAAGCATGTAATGACTTTTCTTCCAAAGGTGACCTTTTTTGCTTGTCCTCTTGTTTGTAGGTAGTCAGATACTTGGCTGGTTGTGGACTGCAAAGTTGCCAAATGCTAGTATCAAAGGGTTATCCAGACATTGGGTGGAATCCAGTCGAAGGAGAGCGATATCTTGACTTTCTTAGATTTGCTGTCTTCTGTAATGGTAGGACTTGATTCCTTGTGTTCTTCTAGGTCATTATTAAAACTGTCTGAACTGAGGGGTGTTATAGAACAATTTGGAGCCCTGGTGTGGTGCTGTGGGTTAATTCACTGGACTGCAAAATCAGTTTGAACCGCAAGGTCGGTGGTTCAAGCTTACCAGCTGCTCCTCAGAAACCCTATACAGGGTCACTATGGGTCGGAACCAACTCAACAGCACTTCACAACAACAACAACAATATAATGATTCACCTCAGTATTTTTACAAAGAAGTGAATATTTAATAAAGAAACCAATTATTTTATTAGCAGTTCTGTCACGTTATAATTTGTTTTGTATTACTTATTTTTATAGTGATGTCATGCTTTTATCATTAAATTAAAACCTTTAGCACCTAAATTCTTGTAAATATTTGCAATTGAATTTTAATGTTAGTTAGAATTATGATATTATTCTCTTTAACAAATCAGTGCTTTTATGCTTCCATAGTGCTTTTTTGAACACTGAAAATTTTAAGTGAAAAGAGAAGAAATGTACAATGTTTTCTGTATGTAAAAGTAGTGATTTATATAAAATGTGTTAGCATACATGTTAAGTTTGTTATTAGTTTTGCATTTTAAAATAAAAACGTATTATAAAATTTATCTGTGTAGAACGTCCTTGTAATTATTAGTATTTGTTTGCTTATGTTTCTCATTTGACTTTAGGGGAGAGTGTGGAAGAGAATGCAAATGTTGTGGTCCGATTGCTCATTCGGAGACCTGAATGTTTTGGTCCTGCTTTGCGAGGGGAAGGTGGAAATGGTCTTCTGGCTGCCATGGAAGAAGCCATAAAAATAGCTGAAGACCCTTCAAGAGATGGCCCCTCACCCACGAGTGGATCCAGTAAAACACTGTGGGTCTAATACATAAGCCGCCAGTTGAATTGTAGTACTTACTATTTGATTGAAATTTAACAAAGTATAATTGGCATTCTATTTATTACAATATAACTTGTAGGCATACAAGATTTCTCCCCTGGAAAATAATAATGTTGCAGACTTGGAGGAGAGGGTGGGATTTGTTGCATGTGTGTGTTTTCCATTTTTATAAGCCACCATTCAGAAATTACTACATTAGGACTCCCCCCTATTTCAGTATGATCTTAATAATATGACAAATGAACATGTACATTACAAACAGGGTCAACTTCCGAGGTATTCAAACCAAAAGTCCCCATTAAGTTGATTCTGACTCATAGTGATCCAATGTAGGGTTTCTGAGACTGTCAATCTTTATGAGAACAGATAGTCCTATGGAGCAGCTGGTGGATTTGAACTGCTGACCTTGTGGTTAACAACCCAACCCATAACCCACTACTCCACAGGGTTTAAGATTTCAGCATATATTTTGAGGGATGCAGTTTAATCTAGAACAGAGATATGTGGGATTTGAGGAATGTAGGGTAGGGTCTGGTCCCTAGGGAAGGAAATCATACTTGGTAGACGTCAGGTAAAAAGTGGCAGACCTTCAATGAGATGGGTTGGCACAGTGGCTGCAGCAGTGGAAACTAACATTCAAATGGTTGTGAGGACAGCACAGGGATGGTTGGGCCTCATGCTGTGGTTATGAGTTGGGACTGATTTGATGATAACTAGCACTGCAAAGTCGATTTGAACTACAAGATCTGTGGTTCAAACTCACCGACTGCTCCTCGGGAACCCTATACAGAGTCTCTATGATTCGGAACCAACTCCATGGCGCTTAACAACAAAAACCAACCAGGTAGGGTAGATGGTATCGAGGTAGGTGAGCAAATGTAATGACGTTGACAAAGTGCAGCAGTCCCTCACTTTTTTGAAAGCTCACTTTACACCACTTCACTTTTATGGCAGACCTACCAAATGAAATCTGAAGAGGGTTTTCACTTCTATGGAAAAAGGCAACAAGCCATTAAAGAGCAGTGAGAGTGTTGTTGCCAAGCGTCTTCACTGTGTCTCTGAGTGCTGCGTGTTCGTGCTATTTCAGGTCTTAGGTCAGTTGATTATTTTAGGTTTTAGGTTATTTTTGGGTTTGAAAACATGTAAAAATTTGTCCCATGTAAATAACTGGTAATTATTACCATCTTGTATAGTGGGTAGAGTCTGTTATATAAAATACTGACTCACCCTTGCTATTGTCGTCGTTAAGTGCTCTCGAGTCAGGTCCAACTCATGATGGCCCTGTGTAGGGTTCCGAGGAGTGGCTGGTGGGTTTGAACTACTGACTTTGTGGTTAGCAGCTTACCCTCATCGCCACACCAGGACACCTTACTATAAATATATTCTATTGTATATAAAGTTACTAAAACTTCATCCTTGGACTAATCTTTTTTTCTTTGTAAATATGCTGTGTATCGTTATAAACAAGAAGGATGTTAGTCATTCTTTCCCTTTGAAGGATATTTAATTATAAAATTCCCATAAATGTATTCATGGTAATAGAATGTCAGATTTGAACTTTAATCCATTTAGATTTTTCCCCTTCAATGTGTAAGCTGTGGATAAAAACCATTTATGTTAATTATCAGAAGAAAAACAAAGCATAGCTTAGTGATTCCTGTCTTCTGAGAGGTATGTAAGAGACTCGATATGTCACTTTATGATACTGTTTGCTTTTCAATTCTTTTGAAAACTTCACAAAAGTGATACAGAAGAAGAGGAGGACGACACCATCCATATGGGGAACGCCATCATGACTTTTTATGCAGCTTTGATTGACCTGCTGGGACGCTGCGCCCCTGAGATGCATGTGAGTGGCAGGATGCCTGGGGAAAAGCCTCTGGATTGATCAATTTGTGCCTAGACATAGATAGCTTACAAAAACCTTCAAAGCCAGTAATAATCTTCATGCTCCCATAGAAATAATGCCCAAACTCAAAACCACCGCCACCGAGTCGATTCTGACTCATAGCCACCCTGTATAGGGTTTCCGAGGCTGTAAATCTTTATGGGAGTAAATGGACTCATCTTTCTCTCTTGGAACAGCTTGTAGATTTGAACTGCTTGATCTTTCGGTTAGCATGCCAGTGCTTACCCTCTAGCACTACCAGAGCTAATTGCTAAACAAGCACTTGCTTAATTGGGAATGTTTTGTTGGTTGTAAAAATTAGTAATAAGCTTTTAGTACATGTCATTAATAGAGTATTTATTTATTTATCTGAAACTTTATAGGAGCTCTTGTTGCACAGTGGTTAAGCACTTGGCTACTAACTGAAAGGTCAGTGGTTCAAATCCATAAGTATCTCTGAGAGAGAAAACACCTGGCAGTTTTTTCCCATAAAGCAGGGCTGTGGAACATCTAGACCTCTGGCCGTATTGTTGTTGTTGTTGTTAAGTGCCATTAAGTCAATTCCAACCCATAGCGACCCTGTGAGCAGCTGGTGAGCTTGAACCACCAAACTTGCAGTTCAAACGACTTTGCAGTCTGACGCATTAGCCCACGACGCCACACCAGGACTCCCTAGCCTTAAAAGTTCTGTGAAATAATTTGGTCTGGCCCTGCCAAGGCAACCGCAGTTCTAGCCATCATATTTATTGTTGTTATTGTAGTTAGGTGCCATCCAGTCACATCTGACCCATAGTGACCCTGTATAGAGTTTCCGAGTAGCAGCTGGTGAGTTTGAACCCACTGACCTTGTAGTTCAGACTGACCTTGTGGTCCAGTGCTTATCTTACAGCACCACACCAGGACTCCAAGCCGTCGCGTTGTTGTTGTTACGTGCCGTTGAGTTGGTTCTGACTCTTAACAACCCTCTATAGGGTTTCCAAGGAGCAGCTGGTGAATTTGAACCACAAACCATGTGGTTCAAACCGACATTGCAGTCCAGTGCTTTATGCCACAGCAGCACACTAGGAGTACAAGCCCCATCATGTTGTTGTTGTTGTTGTTAAGTGCTGTTGAGGTGGAGTCAATTCCAACTCAGAGCCACCCTGCATAGGGTTTCCAAGGAGCGGCTGGTGACTTTAAAACACCAACCTTATGGTTCACAACTCACCTTGCAGTTCACTGTTTTATCCCACATTGCCACACATTAGGGGTGAGTTATTTCAATGTTTGGCCAAATACGGCAGATTAATTTTTAATTTTACAATTTTGAATGTCTTGTGAATGATGTTACAAATTTTGGCAGGTAAAAGGTTCCTCACCCTTGCCATAAAGATTGTTGTTAAGTGTCATTGAGTTAGTTCTGATACATGTGACCCTGTATAGGGTTTCTGAAGAGCAGCTGGTGAGTTTGAACCACTGACCTTGTAGTCCAGCACATTAGCCCTCAGTGCCACAGCCCTATGGGATAATTTTACTCTGTGTGGCACTATGGGATAAGCACTGAACCACAAGGTTGTTTGCGTCACAAGGTCAGTGGTTCAAACTCATCAGCCACTCTTCAGAAATCCTATACAGGGTCACTTTAGGTCAGAACTGACTTGATGGTACTTAAAAACAACAATATACAGTTTACAGTTGCTATGTGTTTAAATTGACTTGATAGCAAACAACATCAAAAAAACTAATAGACTATCCCCCACACTTTAAGAAGAAAAAAAGGTTTCCCTACATAATGCTCTTTCCCATTTTAGTCCACACAGAAAGTAACCACTCTACCTAGAGTAGTTTTCTTTATATACAGTATGCGTCCCTGTAAGCAAGCTACTACCTGGTTACCAATGGTATGGAAGAATGATGTGGGAGGGAGATGCATAAGGAAGGACAAGCTCTTCAATATAAATCAGTGTTTCTAAATTTTTTGACAAGATGACTTTAAAATTTCATAGAATAATGCTTATTTTTATCTGTAATATACTCTGATATTTTCCATTTCATTTTATTTTAGTATATTCTGTTTATTAATGTATTCACTTCAAAAACACCAGGCAAGGCTCATAAAATTGATTTCAAGACCTGCTAATGGGAAAGAAGCCAGAACTGGGAAGCACATTTCCCAGTGCTGGGTAGACGGTTAGAACTGCAGTTACATTTCTGCATTGGTATGTTGTGCACAAAGATTCTGGTAGCGTAGTGGTTACGAATCGGGCTGTGAACCGCAAGGTCAACAGTTTGAAACTTTACCATATCTAATGGATCTATTCTTTCTCCACCCTCAGTATCTAGATTTTGTTCTGTTTTTGTTCACTTCTTTTCACATAAGTAATTTAAAACATATTTGAAACATTCTTGTGAATAGAGAAGAATTACCTCGTTCTAATTTTCATTCAAACCTAACAAATTCTGATGAGATTTTCCTCTTAGTAAATAGAAATAAAATATATATATATTTAAAAAAAGAGAAGAACTTGCATGCTACAAGTGATTGGAAAAAAAAAAAAAAAGGTAACAACTTTATGTTGATGTGAGCATAAAGTTGTTTCTTTTAAAGTATATATTAAAGATCTGAGAAATTGAGAGGGAAATTAAGCATTTTATTCTATTGTATACCTGTGTGGAAAAACAACAAGAAACTAAGTTGATTAGTAAGGGACAACTATGGCATTTTTGAATGTTATTAATCTTCAATACCTAGTACTTGGTGTCAGAAATGTATTCTTAGTGGTGGAGAAAATAAATGCCTGACCTGCTAACTGGGCGCTTGTGGCTTGTTGAAGAGACTTACCAAGTGTCTTGATGTGCTCATATTCACACTCTAGGGTTATGCTGTGTGTAGTAGAACGCGTGCAGCGTAATGTTTAGATGGACTATGCCTTCTGTATATTCCATAGCACACAGCCTATTGCGGTCAGTATGGTTATTTTATCATCCAGTGGCATTCTAAAATGACGGTTAACAGTCACAGTCACCGTTTCCCCCCACATTTTAAACCCATTCTTTTGAGAAATTGGGTGGACTATAAATGGACATATAATTCAATTCTCATCCCAAAGCATAAAGAAGATACATCAATAAAAATTAGTGTATGATTAGGGTCTGAGGACTCCTGTTGTGGTGCTGCAGGATAAGCACTGAACTACAAGGTCAGTTTGAATTGCAAAGTCAGTGGTGCCAACTCACCAGTCACTCATCGGAAACCCTTTGCATGGTCGCTGAGTCGGAACTCACTTAACAACAACAACAGGGTCTAAAGATAATTGTGTTTCCATTGTATTACTTTCTTTTCTTTCCTTTGAATTTGATTTTGCTGAGAATGATTCTGAAATAGTGTGAAATGATTCCATAATTCTTCATGAGTCATGACTTTGCGTGTGATTTAAAAATATGAGAAGAAAAATGATTAATCTGCTATGAAAAGAATGTGATATTATGGTTTTCATTGTGTTTTTGTTTTTTGTCTGGTTTCTGTGTGCTCCAGAAATTACTACTCAGACCCTCTTCCCCCAATTCTTACTTGCTGGTTTTTTTGTTTTTTTTTTGGAAAAATGAATAATGTATTTATTTAAAAATTCAATTGGAAAATATTTTCCAATTTCTCACAAAGTAATTTTTCAATTTTAGTATGTACTTCCTTGATTAAAAAATACGCTCACAGTATTTAAATGCCATCTTTATAATATGCTAAATTTTTATATATTTGTGTCTTTGGGTGGGTCTTTAATTCTTTGCTTTTTTTGATCATCTTGTGTATTTCTATATCAGGAACTCTTTGTTTTGATGATTGTGAGTTTATATTTTAATTTAATATATGGTAGAGCTTAGTGCTCCATTTGATATGTAGTATATTTTGCTAGATGAACTCTAAAAATTTGAAGCACTTTTTTACTGTCAAATTGACGTTAAGTAGCTTCTAGGAATGCACATTCATAGCTTTGCTCTAAATTTTAGTTCCTCAAACAGAGGCTATGTTATATATATATATATATTGATGTATTTACATGTAATTTTGGGGAGTCAGAGCTTATAGACTCGGCAGAATTTCAACATGTTTTAAACTCTTAAAGAGGAATGAAAAGCACTGTTCTAATGGATAAACCAGTTGATCTAGGCTGTAGTAAAATTCAGTTTATGCTGAAGTTAATGAACTTGTCTGGGCAACTAAGTTATCAATGTCTATAAGCCTGAAATAGCAATCTTTGAAAGAGGTCTAATTTTATATATTACTTCTTAACAGAAAATTATTGTAGACTCAGGTTCCTATACTACATGTTCTTTAGATGTAATTATAACACTGATTTTGCCAAGTTCTTTTAATTTTCCTGTGTTTTCTTCTTGTTTAGTTGATTCATGCTGGTAAGGGAGAAGCTATTAGGATCAGGTCTATTTTGAGATCCTTAATTCCACTGGGAGATTTGGTGGGAGTAATCAGCATTGCTTTTCAGATGCCAGCAATAGCCAAAGGTAAGGCCCACTTCCATCCTTCATAATTGGCGTGATGCTTTTAAATAACAGCACTACTCAAAATGCCCTTTCTCTCTGCAGCGTAGTTACAGTAAGTTTCTTTTTTAAAAAAACCTATCAAACATATTATTTTATAAAATATTTTCTCTGATCTTTGTGGATTTTTATGTGCCAGGCCACAAAGCCGTTTGAACTGCAAGTTCGTTGGTTCAAGCTCACCAGCTGCTCCTGGAAACCCTATTCAAGGTCACTCACTATAGGTTAGAACCAACCCAACGGCACTTAACAACAACAACAGCAACATCACACTGAAATTTTCTTATTTATGTGATATTTCAGATACTTTTCAGAAAAGAAAAACTATGCACCGTGACTGTTTCAGTCATTTCCCATCTCTCCTGTTCTTTGGTCTCCATTTTTCTTTATCGTTCATGACCTTAATTTCTTAGTTCACTCTTGTCATTTTCATTGTCACTCTGTCATCATGTTCTTCTTTCCAAAATAGTGATGTCAGCATTTGGCTTAGAGATTGAAAACTTCCCGTGTGTTGAAAGAATCAAGACTAAAAAGATCATATTTTAAATAGTTTGTGTGATGATTGAAAGTCACTAAATGATTTGCTAAGGAGCCCTGTTTCAGGTCGAACTGCTTACCACAAGATCAGCAGTTTGAATCTACCAGCCACTCTTCAGGAGGAAGATGCATCTGTACCCATAAATGTTTACAGCCTTAGAAACCTTATACATTGGAACTGACTCGTTGGCACGTAACCACTACTACCCCACCCACCGACTACCAAAAGATATGTTAGATTCCAGATTATGCTTTGTTTTAATTTTTCCCAATTTCAGTATTGTTTAGTTTTCAGTAATTTATTAAGTATAACACGGTTTATTTTCATGCAAACCTCTAATTGTACAAAACCAAAATATGGTTGAAAGTGCATCCATCCATTCATTCATTATGCCCAAGAGGAGGCGACCTTACAGTGCCTCAGGTATTTAATCAAGGACTCACTGGGTACCTGAAGGTATTGGACCCTCGGTGTAAGCATACGGTTACGAGATAGGAAGATCTCATATGTACCACCATTACAATCCTGAATTATACTATAAAGTGATATTAACTGCCAAAATAATTGGACACTTAAATTATCGACTTTTTTACCTTGCTTCTAACTCATGTTCTTTTACTTTAAAGTAATATATTTTCCTTCCATTTTGTGCCACACAATGACCCTTTCAAGACAAAGAATCATAATAGTGGTGAAGTTTATGAAATAGGGAAACCTTAAATTTTGAGGTAAAATGAGAAATAACAAAGAATATGAAATGGATTCTGGGAATTCTCTGATCTCTCAGAACTGTCCCCAAATGTTCCATATACCTCCCAGTTTCCCTCTGATGTCTGCTGTTACCAAGCCTTCAGTATTTTCCTTTTTTTTTCTTGGTCTGCTGAGCTATGCTATAATCATATTATTTCATGACCTTTTTCTTTATGCCTATTCAGTATTCTGTGTACATTGGGCTGAAAGATATTTTTGTGAGGTATCAAAGTGTTCAAGAGAAAAATACCAGTTTGAGGACTAAGGTACACCTGACCCAAGCCATGGTATTTTCTCACATGCACGTGAAAGTTGGGCAATGAATAAGGAAGACCATAGAAGAGCCGATGCATTTGAATTATGGCGTTGGCAAACAATATTGAAATACCATGGACTGACAGAAAAACAAATCTGTCTTCGAAGAAGTAAACCCAGAATATTCCTTAGAAAGGAGGCTGGAGAGACTCCGTCTCTTGTACTTTGGACAGAAGGGATCAGTACCTGGTGGACATAATTTTTGGCAAAGTAGTAGTTGTTGTTTAGTGTCATCAAGTCAATTCCAACTCATAACAACCCTGTATAGGGTTTCTGAGGCTGGAAATCTTTATGGGAAGAGACGCTGGTGGGCTCCAACCACCGACCTTGTGGTTTGAAGTCCGGGCTTATGCTGTAGAGTCAACCCACTCCTGGAAAGCTGGAGGGGCATGGAGAAAGAGGAAGACTCCCCAGCGAGATAGACTGACACAGTGTGCTCCAGTGTAACAACAGTTGTGAGCATGGTATAGGACCAGGCAGTGTTTCATTCTCTTGTTCGTAGTATGGTCACTGTGACTTGATGATACCTATCAACAGCACATTTATAAGATGAGTTAAGTTTTGGAAACAGAAGCCATTTGGCAGTGTTGAATTCCCACATTTTCCTTCTACTGCTTTCCTTTCACAGAGAATGTAGATTGAAGCTGGTATGTTTTGATTTTACTGTAGACATGCATTTAAATCAACTGTAAAACTTAAACCATCAATGTGATTTTTAGTTCAATGAGGAGTCTGTTAGTTCTTTGTTGTTGTTGTTGTTATGTGCCATGGAGTTGGTTCCGACTCATAGTGACTGTTCAGGGTTTCTGAGGCTGCAAATCTTTACAGGAGCAAAAAGCCTCATCTTTCTTCCGCGGAACAGCTGGTAGTTTTGAACTGCTGACCCTGAGGTTTGCAGCCCGACTCGTAACCACTGCACTACCAGAGTTCCTTAAGCATCTTTTTTTTTTATCAGTAATAATTTTTATGCTGTTTTCTTTACTCAGATGTGATGTTTGACTCTAAAGTGACTATTTCCCCCCCTCAGTTTTAGTAAGGACTGTCCTCAGATATTTTTCTCTGACCTATTCTAAAGCTAAAGCCTGCCCCAGCATAATGATTATACAGGGTGGACTTCAGTAATCTTGAAAGGAAGCATGGAATCTCAAAAGAGGGTCTTCTGCTTCTTGATCTCTTGGCCCCAGCATGTTTGGGCAGCCTGTGCGAGGCTGAGTTTTGGGAGTGGTGGATACTGCCAGCACCTTAATCTAAAGCCAGTGCACCAGGTCAGCCTCATTCCAGTGTAAAAGCTAGGAGTCTAAAAGGAGGCAGTTTATTACTTTCAATGTCTACAATGTGTTTGAGAGGTTGGTTAAGACAACACAAACACTGTGACAACTTGTTTGAATTTTCAATCCTCGGCAGACATAGTTATTTAAATAAAAGTGTATTGAAATGAGTGTCTACTTAAATGAATGTTTAAAACTTATATTAGGATCACCTTTTCCTTAGGCACAGCTATGCCTTAAAATAAAAGAATCCTATAAATTTAAATTCCCTATATAATGCCATCTAAGGAGAGACTAAAACTGGATGTTCATCTAGACTTTTCAATGCAAGTTATAGCATAATGATTAAGCACTTAGGGTTAAATAAATTCTAATTGGATTTTAAATACAAATTTTGTTGTTAGGTGTTGGCCTATCAATTCAGACTCATAGCAACCTTACGTACACCGGAACAAAATGCCCCCAGTCATGTTTTAGCTACAATTGTTGTTACATTTCAGACAGTTGTTGCAGTCGCTGTGTGGATTCATCTCGTTGATGGTCTTCCTCTTTTTGCTGATCCTTTATGCCTTTTTCCAAAGTATGTGAGAAAAAGTCTGGCTGTCTTTGTTTCTAAGGAACATTCTGGCTATACTTCTTTAAGGACTTTTTGCTTTCTTCAAGCAGGTCATTCAATATTTGTTTGCCAAAACCATAATTCAAATGCATTAGCTCCTCTGTGGTCTTCGTTATTAATTGTCCACTTTTTGCACATCAGGTACATGCTAGTCCTCAAGGTAAGGTGTTTGTTTGTTTGTTTTTAAACACTTTAAAGAGTCGTTTGTTTGCAGCAGTTTTGCCTAATATAGTATAACTTTGATTTTTTTTTTCTTTTTAAGGTTTTTATTGTGGATTGAATGAAAGTTTACAAGGCAGATCATCGTTTTACATTCAACAAATCATACACCTGTTTCATTACAATGATTATAATCCCCTCCATGTACCATTAGTTAGCGTATTTCTCTCTAGCCACTTTAGCTTAAAAAAAAAAAAAAAGAAAGAAACAGGCATATGTAATAATTTACATTTCCAAAGGGCACATTCTGTAAGTCTGCCTCCTGGCCACCACCTCTTAGTCCCTCTCTTCTCGTGAATCTAGAGCCCTCAGC